TGGATGTGCAGGATCATCCTTTTACAGGGCCTCTCTTTACCTGGTCTAACAAACAGGATGAGACTTATTTGGCTAGGAAGTTGGATAGGATCCTCACCAATTCCCAGTGGCTGCTGGATTTTCCATATTCTTATGTTGAGTTCAAGGCCCCTGGGGCTTCTGACCATTGCCTTGGGTTAATTTGGACTCAGAAAGAGGCTCAAGTCCATAGACCTAAGCCTTTCAAATTTTTCAATGCTGGACTACAAATGAAAACTTCTTGAGCAGTGTGAGGGAATCTGGTCAATGCACTGTGAGGGCAATGCAATGCAGGTCCTATTTAACAAAATGAAAAGACTGAAGCTTGTTCTGAATTAAACAAAAATCATTTCTCTGATATATCTAGGGTAATTGCCAAGAGGGCAGAACTGGAGTCTGTTCAACTCTCTATCATATCTGGTGCTAGCCATTTTGGGGTGGAAGAGGAAAATAAGGTCCATGCTGACTTAGTGGATCTTGAAGTGGTTGAGCTTGAGTTTTACAGGCAGAAAGCAAAGATTCACTGGTTGTAGGAGGGAGATTTGAGTACTAAATTTTTTCATCAAAAGGTTGCTCTCCATAAAAAGAACACTATTAGAGTTATTAAGAGTGAAGATGGACAATGCCATGAAACATTTGATGGTATGGCTGCTGAATTAGTGGACTTCTTTAGAAATTTAATTGGTACTACTGACCCTATGGTTCAAGAGTGTTCTCCTGAGTGTTTGAAGGAATTCTTGAGCTATATTCTGCCTGCTGGTGCAGAGAGGGTTCTGGAGAGAGTGGTTTCAGATAGTGAAATTAAAGAGGCCATTTTTAGACAAGATAAAGACAAGAACCCAGGACTTGATGGGTTCACATCCTGGTTCTTCAAGGTGGCTTGGGGGATTGTTCATACTGATTTCCTCAATGTGTGAGGTATTTTTTCCAGTCCTCCTATCTTTTACCTACCTTTAATGCCACTACATTAGTTTTAGTGCCTAAGTCCTTGAATGCTTGTATGGCTAGGGAATTTAGACCCATTTCTTGTTGCTCAGTGGTATATAAAACTATTACTAGGATATTGGTCACTAGAATTACTCAGTTCTTCCCTGAAATGATCTCTGCTAGTCAATCAGCATTTGTCAAGGGTATAAGCATCACTGACAATACTCTTTTAGCCCAGAAATAGTTAAGGGCTATTATAGAAGAAATCTTTCTTCTAGATGTGCTATAAAGATTATTTGTAGAAAGCCTTCGACTCTATTAGCTGGAAGTTCTTATTGAATGTTTTTAGAGCTATGGGGTTCCCTGCAAGATTCTGTGGATGGATTGAGACTTGTGTGACTACCCCTAGGTACTCAATTGCTCTGAATGGCAGTCTTGTGGGGTATTTTAGGGGTGCTAGAGGTGTCAGACAGGGGGACCCATTGTCCCCATACCTATTTGTAATTGCTATGAATGTTCTCTCCAGATTGCTTGATGTTGCTGCTAGGAATGGGATTTTCATATTACATCCAAAATGTAAGAGAATTTCTCTCACACATCTCTGTTTCGCTGATGATCTGCTGCTATTTTGTCATGGGTCTATGGAATCAGTGTTAGGAGTTAAAAGCATCTTAGAAAAATTTTATCATCTGTCTGGGCTCAAATTAAATGCCCTGAAAACTGAACTCTTTGCATGTGGGGTTAATAGAGGTGATTTAGAGCAGATTCAACCAGTCACAGGGTTTAGATCTTGTAATATTCCTGTCAGGTATTTGGGAGTTCCTTTTGTGACTCGTAAGCTCTCAAGGAATGACTGCACTACTTTGCTGGAGAAAATTAAGGATAAATTGAGGATGTGGTCGAGTAGGAAATTGAGCTTTTGGGGGAGACTCCGACTTATTAAAGTTGTCCTCTTTAGTATCTTTAATTACTGGAGTAGGCAGTTGGTTCTGCCTAAGGGTGTGATTCAAGACATTGAGAGGATGTCCATGAGGTATTTTTGGAAGGGTAATGACTCCCCTATTCGTGGTGCAAGAGTCAGCTGGTGCCAGATTTGTTCTATCAAATCTGAAGGTGGCTTAGGGCTAAAAAGTTTGATTGGTTGGAATAAAACTTGTTGTTTCATGCTTGTTAGAAATATTCTGGTTGGTGAGGGATCATTATGGATTGCATGGATTAAGGCATATTGCTTTAAACTTGATGATTACTGGAATGTTGAAAATAAATCCCACTTTAGTTGGATTCTTAGAAAGTTGATTAATCTGTGAGAGGAAGCCAGAGGTTTATTTGATGCTTTAGGTAGCTGGTCACAAATTAGGGGGAATTGGATTTGGAACAGAATTCAGAGTAGGAAGAGCAAAATTGCTTGGCATAAAGTTGTTTGGTTTCCTGCTCATCCTTAAATTTTCCTTGATTGCGTGGATGGCCATCCTTGATAGATTACCTACCAGGGAGAGACTTTGTAGGTTTGCTATGGTGACTGGTGCAAGTTGTGGACTTTGTGGCACTGATCTGGAATCAGGAATCATTTATGCATGGACTGTCTTTTTTCTAGGGGGTTTGGAACGCTATAATTCAGCTCTGTGGGCTGTAAATTCAGTGGCCTAGTTGAGATCATATGCTTGACTGGCTGGTCAGGAATCTGAAAGGCAAATCCTGTTAGTGCACATTCTTAAACTCTCATAAACTGGTTTTGTTTACTTCATTTGGGAGGAGCGCAATCGCAGATGTTTTAGAGGTGTGATGTGTTCGATAGATACTATTGTAACTACCATTAAAGAGGTTGTTAGAATCAAGTTACATAGACATTACATGAATAGGCTAGATAGTGTTAATAGACAGTTATGTATTGATTGGGGCCTATTCTAGATGGTTTTATGTACTTTGTACCAACTTGCTGCTTTCTTTGGATGATATACAATTTGATTATCCAAAAAAAATAACGTCTTATACCACGAGACCATTTGTGTATTTTGTCCTAAATAATTACGTAGAATATTGGCTTCGATGGAGAGATTCGCTGAGAGCAATAAGTGATGAACTAAATACACTGTATAATATTTGTTTTCTTATACAAATAGAAACATTTGGTTTTATTAGAAGATATGAAATATTTAAAATTATCATGAAATTTAATAATAATTGCAAATGAAATATATAATTAGAATATTTTATATAAATATTAGCATAAAAATTACCCAGTTAAAATTATATAAAGACTATATAAGAAAAAATATTAAAAATCTTTTTAAAAACTTCAAACAAAATATAAATACTAACGAATTCTAAATACATCGATAAACGCTAAATATTCATACCTAATTACAACCTGTAAGGAACATGCAACAAATATAAGCAAATGAGAATCATTGAAATGACCATCCAGCACAGTTAGTAGAGCGTAAGGTTTTTAATCTTGGGGTCTTGGGATCGAGTCCCACGGAAGGTATTTTATAATTCGGAGGTCTCCTACGGAAGTTTCTCTCAACCTGGTGTTGGGAGCAACCTATTATCCTACCTCCCCTTACCCCATTATATATCGGAATAAGGGTAAGCTAGCTTCATCAGAACCATCGCCATAATAAAATCATATCATCTTCCCCAAAGATATTCAATGCCCAATGTCGTAACGGCCCAGCATTAAAGAAGGCCTAAAGGGTCCAAATGCATTAAGTCGGGAGCAAGTAAGTCCAACCCTATTATTTTGGAAATAATTTGTATGTTATATTTATGTATAAATTTAATATTTTTTAAACTTATTATAAATTTTTGTCTATTTTGCTTTAAATTTTTCTTAACAGTAAATCATATAAGTAGTCGCTAAATTTTGTTGAAATAATTTTTTTCGCTTACTAAAGTTTTATAAAATGATGATTAAACTTATTAAATTGATGTCAAATAGTTATTGCATGTTATAAAATAATGATAAATGTTGATAATTTAAGGACTATTTTGTAATAGTTCAATAATTTTAGTAATCTTCAGAAACTTTAGTGATCAAAAGACTATTTTAGCATAATTTAGTGACTATTTGTATATCTTATTCTTTTTTAAATATCTAATAGATCAACTATTAATGAGTTAGGTCGTGCTTATTATTTTATTTATTTTTATTCAAAGTACGTAATATTTTGAATCAAACACATTCTTTAAAAAATGTGAAATATATTAGAGGTCACTAAATAATGTCCAAATGATCTTTTTGGTCATTTAACTTTCAAAATATAAAATGATCATTAAATTTATTAAACTATTATAAAATGGTCATCATGACATTACAAACTGATCATTAAAATTATTAATGTATTACAATTATTATAATATTATGATAATTATTACAAAACGATCATCATGAAAATTTATTAACAAAAATATCATTTTAACATAATTCAATGTGTTGATGTGAAAACACCTTCATAGCTTTCATTAATGTCCTTGTTGGTCCAATCTCTCCACATTTCAGAGCTAGGGGTGTAAACAGCCAAGTCAAGCTCGAGTATTGCCGACTTCAACTCGAACTCAAAAGTTTTAAATGTAAACTCGACTCAACTCAAAAACTCGCGAGCCTAAAATTTTCAAACTTGACTCGAAATATAATATTAAAACTCCTCAAACTCAAAAAAAATTCAAGAGCTCAATTCAAGCTCAATTCAAACTCAATTTAAGCTTGATACAAACTCAAGTGCTCACCACGTGACTACGTAAATTAAACCATTAAGTTTGAGCTTTAATTTATAAATCACTTGTGGAGCACTTGCTTCTATCTTAAAGATGTGGGATATAAGGCCACATGTTGTATGTGGGATATACTGCCAGAACTTCACCCTCTTCCCCGTGCTCTTCACCCTCTTCAACACCCTGTTCATCGGAGACTGCTAAACAAGCTTCATTGAAGCCTCCAACATCAATAATTCAACATCATCATCATCAAGATCAAGGGATACCACCTCAAGATCATCTGGAAAGACATACACAGCACGTGTAACTTAGCAAACATATTTCACCTCAATTTTTGCTTTTATCTGTTTTATTAGCAAACATTCAGTAATTCTTTTATATCTTGAGAAATATCTGATCTAATGCAAGATATTTCCATCTGTTTTTGAACTGTTAATATATCGTTTGTCATACTGTTTAACTTATCTTTAGGTCTTACTCGGCATTGGGGAGATAATTTCTTCTAGGTCCTGTCCTAAGGTATCAACCTATTGAACCATCAAAGACATTATTTGATATACAAAACTGATTTGTCTCCTTCCACTATTAGGTACTTCTGTTGATTGGTTCTCATGATAGAGAGACAAGTGGCTTCTCTGCGTCTTCTTTTGTTACGGCTATTACAGATGCTCTGAATCGTACATATGGAGATTCTCATAATTGTTTAAGAAACCTTGTGAGTGAATGAATTTAGTTACAGTTGATAATTATATCGAAAACATTTTCCTTAATTAATGACCAAAGTACAGGCATGGAGAAGACTCGAGTACGAGTACTCCCTTCAACCAATAATATAAGGAAAACAGAAAGAAGATAGGGTAATCTCATTTACTGCAGTTCATTCTTTGTGCAGCCAAGTCAGTACATCAATACACTTTTGGTGCCCAAAGATGGTGAAATCCCCATAGACATCCAAGGCTTGTCTTCCCAAGGAATCTTTGACGTGGTATGTTTGCCTACAACCATAATCCTATTCTTATCAAACCAATTTCTTACCATTTCTAATGGGAACTGACTCATATGGTCATGCACTGAGTTAGTTCTATTAAGTCAGTTTCTTATGAGGAGAACCAGTCCTAGAACTAGAAAAACCCCACTTCTATTTCCTTGAGTTCCCTGTGGAAGCTAGTCCACTATCTTCTACCTTTCTCCAAACCCCAATGTGGTGGTCTCGTATCATATGTATTTATATTTGAAACTTTAGTACTAATGACTAAGGTACTCCTAATGACTAAGGTACTCCATAACCAAAACACTCGAACAATTCTGTCTTGGCATTTATTTTTATCCACTAATTCTATAGTTTATAAGACCCTATAATTTATACGTATTTTGTATTTAAGTCATTGATTTAATTCCAATTTTGTAAGTTTAATTTTACATTTACGTGAATTTAATTATCATTCTAAAGTTAGTATATTTAGCTTAAATTAGTCCTCACATTTAGATTTCTCTTAATTTAGTCCCTGTTTAGGATTATATTCTTTAATTAGTTGTGTATATTTTTTTTTGCATGTTGATATGTTTATGTATAAGTATGCGATTGATTTATTTAGGAGTCACATAACATTATTTTGCATAATTTGTATGTTACCTTCATGTGCATAACTTAACCCCTATCACATAATCAGATTTAGATTTTAGGGTTTAATGTTTATAGTTTATGGTTTATGGTTTAGAGTTTAAGATTTATTGTAAAGACATTAATTAATCGACTTGGTATCGATTTATGAGGTAAGTATAATTTAGGGTTTATGGCTTATAGTTTAAGGTTTAGGATTTATAGTTTAGGGTTTAGGGTTTATTGCAAGGACATTAATTAAAATTTGAGGTTGTTGTATTATAGAATTTTTAATATATTTTTAAAATTTTATAATTATCAATAGTGTATTTTTAATAATGTAATTTTAAAAAATCTAAAATTATAATATAACATTTTCTGAGCTGCTCACGAGCTTTTCGAGTCGAATATCGAGTAGCTCGATCTGTCTCGTCTCATTTACAACCCTATTCAGAGCTGCTTCACAAAGAATATTCAATTTGGAGGGCAGAAAAAGCAAGAGTCGGTCAAACAAGACTTGGAAAAACATTTAAAGTCTTTGCCGCCTCAAAGTCTTGCAAAAAGGGTCTTTAAAAGAAGTGGCTTTTGCATTTTTCGATTTGCCAATGCACCACTCAATTACCTGGGGATGACATTATCATCCAACAATAACATATCTATCCTCTTTGCTAATGCTGATGCTGTTGAATATATCAAGTTCAGTGGGTGGGAATATGATGCACATTAATATCAGTAGCTAATTTTACCATGTGGAAATCCACACCTATGTTCTTGGGGGTGAAGATTTGCAGATGAAGTGAAAAATGATACTAATTTGGCCATACAGGGAGATGGTTGGAAGGTTCCTGTTTGGCATGCGAGAAAATTCCATATATGTGGTTGAACAGATTGGGATAGGAGATTTCTAAGTGGATTCTGACATGGAATTTTGTTGGCAACCCATTAAGCCATTCGACCAATCTTTTTCATTTTGCTTCTTATTTTCTGGTAAAGCTTTGAGAGATTTGTTAAGTAATGGATGGAGCATGTCAAATTTGGAGATTAGCCTGATTAAGTGGTGCACTAAGAGACGTTTGTGCCCACAATCTTCAACAATTTGTTGCCGTTTTTGTGCTATTATATTTATTAAATATTTAAGGATAAACTATCGACTTATCACTTTTCTTTTACATTACAATTTTACTTATTAAATTTAAAAAACTTAAAGTTTTAATTAATTATATTATCATTTTATCAAGTTTTCATCATTTACATGGTTGATTGTTATATTTTGACTATCGAGTAGTTAATGTTGTTAATTTAATGACATGACATGTAGACTCTTGATATTTAGATATAATACTATTTTGATCATAAACTTTAGATGTAATATCATTTTGACCACTAAACTAAAGATTAAAATATCAATTTTATCACTAAATTTGACTATCACCTTCTTTACTGATCACCGCCGTTATTATCATTATTTGATCACTAATGTTATCATTGTCATTATTTATTTTTAATTTAAGAGACAACACTGTTTCCATGACATGTCCTGTCGTGTCTCTTAGCCACCCTTATATATCCTCTTCTCTTAAAGTTTCTCAATGAACCCGTAAAAGCAGTTCATCATTTGTGATTTGTCTCTTCTCAGACTCAATTATGTCTACTTCTTCATGTTCTAATTGGTTACTTTCTTATAGAAAACTCAAGTTCTTTACTAGAACCCATAGGTATATGCAATCCAAAGCAGCAAGAAAAACGATCCTGTTCATCGTCCTCTGAGCACTCAAACAAGTTAAGAACGAAGAACAACAATGATAAAGCGGAAGATCGTCAGCTAGTTAAGGAAAAAGAAACCGATCTCGATGGTTCCGCAGTGTTGCAAAAAACAGTGAAGAGGCTTAACTTTGGGAGCTGGGAAGAGAAAGAGATGGCTGCTATAGCGATCGAGAAACTCGTTAGAGAAGACGATATGGCAAGTAAGCTGATGGCAGAGCTTGGAGTTATAAATATGCTTGTTTCCATGGTGGCTACTGAGGTGGTCGGCCGCAATCGGGCCCCATCAAGGCGTTGATCGAGCTTGCTAATGAAACTTTTACGTAAGTTTTCCACTACATATTTGTTCATGGGTCACATGTTAATCATATATTTCATAATTCTGTAATTAATCTTTCTCTCTCTCTTCTTTTCCAGCAACGAGGCTTTAATGCTAGAGGCTGGAATATTATCAAAGTTACCGAAAGACATTAACGTTGTGGATGAACAAACAAGGCATGATTTGCAGAACTGTTATCATCATTATCTTCTACATCAATACCCGTTTTTCTCTCAACAAGCCTGAGATCCTCCAATTTCTCATCGCCATTCTCGAGTCACCTTCTAGCTTTGAAACCATGGAACTTTGTCTAGGTGTTATATAACCTATCTGCAGTTTTAGAAAATGCTGGACTTTTGGATCTAATGGAGTCGTCCACACGCTCTTGAAGCTGTCTTCATGCAACGATCTTTCGGAGAAAACACTAGCGGCATTAGGTCATTTGGTGGTGACTTTGATCGGGAAAAGGGCAATGGAAGATAGTTCAATGGTACCAGAGAGCTTGATCGAGATCCTAACATGGGAAGATAAACCCAAATGCCAAGAATCATCGGCCTATATACTAATGATTTTAGCTCATCAGAGCTCTACTCAGAGGGACAAAATGTCGAACGCCGGTATCGTTCCGGTGCTTATCGAAGTGTCCTCACTGAGGAGCGTTTAGCACAAAGAGAGGAATGAAATTGTTGCAGTGGTTTAAAGACGAACGGCAAGCGAAGATGGGACCTCATTCTGGACCACAAACAGGAAGGGTGGCAATGGGTTCACCATTGCATACAAAGGAGGGTCAAGAAGGGAAGAAAATGATGAGTTTGGTGAAGCAAAGTCTTGATAAGAATATGGAAATTATTACTCGAAGGGCTAATGGTGGTGCTGGGGGTGTTCATTCTTCTACTATCAACTCATTGCTCCTCACCACAACCTCTAAAAGCTTCACTTTCTAAAATGTTCTTTTTTATCTTTGTAAAAACACTTCCGTGAACAATTAAAAAAATCCAAGTTAAGACATTTGGTTTTTTAGATAGAGTCATAATTTGAATTTTGATGCTGTGAACGAAATGAATTGAATTAAGAAAATTGTTCTTATAATGAACCTTTATACTACTTAATTTAAATTAGTTAATCAGTAGATTGAATACTAAAAATTATATAAAAGATAATTAAAATTCATTATAAGGATAATTCTCTTAATTCAGTATTTTATCTCATCCTACCAATTGACAATTGAATATATAATTTTCATTTAAGTACCCGTCAAGTAATATTCAATATTTTTAATCATCCTTAATACATATCTGATGAATTAATTTATACGTCTAAATGGTAAAACCAGTGCATTAAATATTAATTGATGAATTCAACAATAAACAAATGAAAAAAAGTAGTGAATTGGATTTTAACCGGGGCCGACTGATCAGGTTTAATTCAGGATCTTCTCTCGTCAATCTTGTCATGGCTTTCGACGCTTAAAGAAAAACCTGTAAGTGTGTTAAAAAGGTTGGATTCCCTCTCTTTTTTTTCTTTCATAATTTAGTTTTCTTTTTAGATCATTCTCAAGTTTGTGCCCAGTATGCATTAGCAAGTTTCAGAGCTTCCTGAATTGTTCATCTAACTTTTTTTTTATTCTGCTAATAACTTAACAGTTTACTAATAATAACCTTTCTACTTGTTGAGCATTTGGGTTTTCTTATTTCTTTAAAATTTTCTGCTTCTGCATGATGATTATATGATTTTTTTTGTTTCTCTTTTTAGATTATGAAATTATTCTTCTTTGGCTCAAGTTTATTTATTTTTGTGGGGTTAAAATTTGAAGCTCCGATGGTTAAATTGAGATTGGCACTTAAATGGTTTTTAACAAATTCTGTCTTCATTGTAGCTTGTATAAAATTTTGATCAGTTGGGTTCACTCATCCTCTTGAGTTCTTCAAAATCCTTGAAGCAGTTCCTCTGTATTTGACTGTTGAACAAACCTTTACCTATTTGAGATACTTTACATTGTGAATAAAAGAATTAATAGCATGTGAAAAGGGACTAGTCTAATCCTTATTGTTTCTTACTATCCATCTTAATATTTGTTTTCTTATACCAGCTTCAAAAATTTCAAAACTCTTGCGACCATTTAATTTGATTCAGTTCTAGATGTTGCAACTCAAAACAAAGATTTCCGGGTGCTTTCAATTGCTACACCGCAATTTCAGAGACTTCTCCATCTGTTTTTCCTGAAACCTTATTCCTTTCCTGGATTTGAACTAAGATCATGAGCATTGCTGGAAAGATGATGTTCCCTCATCTCTGTCTGGGAAATAAAGTTTATTCTACTTGATGTAATGTGTCTTCTTTGTACTTGGATGGAGAATTTCCCCAACATAATTCTTAAACCACGGCGTTTTGCAGTTTATATACTCCCTGGTGCATTAAACCCGGTTCTGTGTCCGAAAAAGTGAACTAACACATCCATGTTTGAGCTCAATATGGATGGCAAATCTAAAGGAATAGCTTGGGTTGGCAACATTTATCAGAAGTTTGAACCATGTGCTTGGAGATGGATGATATGGTCTGCCAGTATTGGTTTGCATACATTCTTTTGTTCTCATAAAGTTAAGTACCGATACCTTTTCTGCTTTGATACACTTTAATAAAGCTTGGCATCAATGTTGCTAATATCTCATAATGTTAGGAAACATTTCAATACGTTGTAGACCAGTTGCAGACGGTGGGCTAATGTTAAACAATTCTGTACAGAACTAATGCAAGAAGTGCTCCCTTCATCTCCTACCAATTTGAAGGAAGAACTTAACTCGTCTCTGGTGCAAAATGCTGATGTAGCCAATGAAGATTGGAACACAAGTGTTGATAAAGAACGCATTAAGAACTGATCCATGCCTCTTCTGTTGAATATGTTGAGGATACACATTTGGGTTTATCTTCAGAGAATGAGTGTGCCTTGGCTTAAGCCTGCGAGAATGAAGCTCAGAAAATTGATACTACTCTAGATGATGCCTTATTAGAATCAAAGGGTATGTATTATATCTGTCGATCTTTTCTGTTGGTAAGGTTGGGTTTATATATATATATAGTATCTCCCGCATGCCCTTTGTTCATTCCCATATATTCTGGAAGCAGTCATTATCTAAGACTCAAGGTTAGATTAAACTAATCTGTTGCATTCTGTTCTGGAACCAAAGGAAGAAAACCACCATGTTTTGTTAAAGTGATTCTTTGTACCATTGTAACGATATTAAATGGTTTTGTTGCAGAAGAGGCTAGCAATAAATCTGTTCTGAAATTGGAACTAGAAGCTGTTCCAGTTCCATTTTTAATAAACTAAAGCTTGAAGAAAGTTGCATTAGTTGACGGTAGTGAGCTCCGTTCTCTTTCTAATGAATTACGAGAACGCCAATCATTCAAGGTAGGATACTCTTACCCTCCTTAGAACTTTCAGTAAATTCAGGCTGCTCTCTAATGTTTAGCTCGGCATGAACATCCGTATCAAGATGCTCCGTTGAATCTAACATTTCATCATGTTTTCTGGAACAGATGAAGTTTCGGGATGCGTTTTCTTCGAGTCGAGGTTACCGAAGCCATACAATGAACAGCATCCAGGATCTAGCAAGGAGAAAAGAAACAGCCTTGAACTATTCAATGATACCACCAAGTCATAATCACAAGAGATGGGATTTTGTGAATCGGATTGGGAGATTATTTAGATAAAACTAAAATGGTTTTGAGAACAAACACAGACAAAGGTTATCAATTCACGAGACTAGAATTTCAATGGAGAGAATTAGGCAGTGAGTAAGCTTGATGGAAAATTGTTTTCCCTCTAAATTGCAGCATTTGCTTGTATTAATTAATCAAGTAATGTTAGTATTAATTATAAACAAACATTAATCAACATGAAAAAACCCATTGGTGGTCTCCTGATCTAATCATGTACCTACCAAACTCCATGAACGGTCCACAGAAGCTCGAAGATTATAAAAAGAAAACATTTTTATTTTACACACCCTTTTTTGTTAAAAAGAAAACATTTTTATTTTATACACCCTTTTTTGTTCACAAAAAATAGGAAAAAGATTAAATATTAAAAAAGCGTTATTTACAGAACACAAAATGTTGGAAACTGCGGGAAAATGGCTGACCCCTGTAGTTTGCTAGGACCCTTTTTCTGTAATCCCTCTCTTCCTCTTTTCCTTCTCAAAATCCCAAAATTACCCATCCATTTGCCCTGTAAATCCATGGCTGCCCATTGCCATTGCTCCTCTAATCCTCGACCTACGCAGCCCTCCTTGATCGTCTTCTCAGGTACCCTTTTCTCCGCGTTTTGATTAATAAACATTTTAAATTTAATTAAAAAAGTCATACGGGGAGGTTTTTCTTCTATGGTGGTTTTAGGTGGGACGGCGTTTAATGGCGTTGTGGAAGAGCTTAAGAAGTTAACAGTTCGAGTTGCTCATGTTCTTCCTGTTTCTGATGATGGAGGAGGAAGTACTGCTGAGATTGTTCGAGTTCTTGGTAATTTTTTTACCCATTTTTAAAGCATAACACTTATAGCGTTAATTTAGATATTTTCAGAAAACAATTCTCAGTTGACATAGGAAACATTAGTTGTTGAAGTTGTATTGACATGAAAGAATTTTGCCTGTACTTGAATTGTTTAATCAGATGGCCTTGTTTTAATTAGACTGTGTTTGGTTCTTACACCATGATTTGAAAATTTCTTTGACTTGAGATAAAAGAGTGTTGCTGAATTAATGTTACAGCTAAAATATATAAAATTTTATTTTAAATTCAGTACGTTATTCTTGATATTGTTTAGGTGGTCCTGCTGTTGGGGACATAAGGTCAAGATGTTTGAGATTGGCTGATGAAAGCACTTCTGAAGCTCTGGCTGTCCGAAGATTGCTTGGTTATCGTTTGCCTATTAATCAGCAACAAGCCAAGTCGGAATGGTAGTGTTTCCCTCTGATAATTTTTCTGTACTACTTTCATTTTAACACTATTGATTAGTCATTTAGATTTTCCCCCTCTTGTTAAGCAAGTTTTGATAATTTGATTGCTGCTTTTCTTTTTCGATTGTGCCATTTTCCATATACTCCGTTTTATTGATAAATGCACTTGCAGGCACAGCCACTTAAGAATTGGAAGAAGATTCGGATAGAACATTCTTTGTTAACTATGTCTTTTAAACTTCATTCTAAACCTAGACATGGAAACTTATTACAAATTTGACAATTCTGTTACTATTTTTTATCTTATTTGGATTTCTTTTTACTTATTAATATATATATTATTATGTACTTGAATAAATTTGTTGATTACGAGTATTATCCGCTTTTAACTCCTATTGCTTCGGATGTTTGTCTTCTGAATTTTTTTCATTTACTTGCTAGGTGGTAAATATGGTGGGAGTATTGAGTAATAGTGTGCTGAGTTGAGAATTTGACAGGTATAAAATATTGGAAGAAGAACATTCACTATGGGAAGGTGTATCAAAACCATACAGGGAAACAATTCGAGCTTTTCTGGCTTACTTTCAGAACGAGGTTAAGTCTTATATTATCATTTTCTATACCAGATTTCATAGCATTTTATCTATTATTCTTTTTTATCAAACATACATGCTTTATTTTGCTGTCTTTGACACATCTAAAGGACATCATCCGTATCAAATAATACTTAACTGTTAACGAGGTTAAGTCTTATATATCATTTTCTATACCAGATTTCATAGCATTTTATCTATTATTCTTTTTTATCAAACATACATGCTTTATTTTGCTGTCTTTGACACATCTAAAGGACATCATCCGTATCAAATAATACTTAACTGTTAACACTATTTGTCTTCTGTAATCTGCTGCATCTCCAATGTTTCATCACTCCTTGGTTGAAAAGATGATTGGAATGGAGATTAATCTATGATATCCTTGTATACAGATTCTGAGAAGGCCTATTGAATCATTCTGTTTCAGTAATGGAAGGTACTTTGTTTTGTTATATTTATACCTTGTCAAGGTTTCCATTTCAGTACATTGAAATTCTAATTGCCCCTTCTTGAATTTCCATGCCTTAAGTTTTCATGCTCTGCTGAGCGTTTGGTATTATTAGGCCTGATGTTGTAACTTGTAACTGATATAGAAACTTGTTTCAATGATTCTTGTCATTTGTTTCAATTTGATTAACAATGCATTTAAGTACTACTTTTTATTTGTTTCTGTGTTGACTGTTTTCCTTTCGTTCCAGCTGGCTCTTTCTTTTTTGCTTTGCTGTTTGTTGAGTGTAATTCGTCTTAAGAGTACTAGTTCTCGTGAATATGTAAACTAGCATTTGCTTTGTTGTTTCATCTTGGCATGGTAGTGTAGATTTGTATCAGAGTACTAGTTCGTGAATATGTAACTAGTATTCGAAGACATTATTACAATCTTAGTGACTTATTCTCCGCTGGATTGCAGCATCGGGAATTTTTTCTTTGCAGGAGCAGTATATTTTTCAGTCATTAGATGCTGCAATTTTTTTTGTTTTCACGGGTTTCAGATATCCAGCAGAAAGTTTGGTCCTCCCAGTCATTTCAACCCAACGACAGGCTCACTTTTAGGATGTCTTAACAGATGGGACAGTTATACGAGGACAATGAAATTTCCCATCCAACCAATGTCAAAGGACCTGTATAAGGTTTGTCAAGTTTAATTCATGATGAAAAGCCTATCATATAAATGTCGACTAATTGCTGCATTCCAAATTCAACTTTCAGGAATAAGATATCATAATAAGTGTGTTGATCACTGCGATGCCTTGATTCTCGCATTCTCTTTGATTTTAAATCTCAAAGATGCTAAGTTATAATGGTTGAAAAGTGAAAACTTCTTGACCTAGTGCTAAACATGTTTTTGTTTTGCTTTGGACTTTGTGGGATGGTGTGGGAATGAGAATATGGGAAGTCTGGAGTTCTTAATGTTGCTCTGCATCTGATATTTAAATGAAACCAGAATGCTGCCTGTTCTGAATTTATAATTTCATTGTTCTGTTTACTCTTTTTTTTTTTGTTCTAGCCTTATTTTTTCCTGAATTGCACCCCCTTATTTCCTATCGTTTGGTGTTCCTGAATTTTTTTTATGTGGGAGTTGAAATCGAGATGTCACACTAAGAAGACTTCGATTTTGGAGTTTTAAAATCCATCCATGGCACCAATATTCCTTGAAATGACCGTTAGTTGGTTTTCTGAATGACGAAAATTCTACTAATGATGTTAAATTTACACTTGTTAGTTCATGCTTGAATGCATCATTTTAAACTGAAACCAATGTTCCACTAATAAAAGTTAGTGCATAAGTTTCTATTGAGCTTCTGATTGAGTTTCAGATTTATCATTGCTACATTCTTACATATAGGTAGATCATCAGTTCCAGCTCTTCCATCACGAATAAAAGGGTATTCTACATGTCAAGTGAGGTACGAATTCACTACACGAGGTAATGATAGATTCTGTAGTTTTTGCTTTGTTGTATTTTGGAATAAGATATTATATATTTTTTCATTGTTTCCCTTCTTATGTCTCTACCATAATGTTCCCTACTTTTAAGTTGCATGGATTGTAATATCCACTGTTAATCTTGCAAATTTGTGTTCTTAAAACATGACTGCAAATTCTACTTGACCAGGTCTTTCCAACTGTCAACCCAGCTGTTCTGGACCAGTTGTCCAATGTGGACTGTATAGTTTATGCTATGGGCTCTCTCTTCACTTCCCTTGCCCATCATTGGTAACACTCTTCAACTTTTTAATATCTAACAAGGACATCCGCATACCTTTTTAATATGCATTACACTTTTATATCTGGAAAGACATACACAGCACCTGGAACTTACATAAGTTCTTGATGTGCAACACAAAATATGTGATTCAAAGGTTCCACATGATGGTAGTTCAGCTGCCACATGTTGTCTCTTTTTCTTTCTAAATTTTTTTTGGTGTCATGAAAACAACTTTTCAATGGATAGGTGCCATGTTGACTGAACGTTTTTGTTGCAGGTTAGAAAATTGAAGCATATTTCACCTGAACTTTTGCTTTTATCTGTTTTTATTAGCAAACATTAAGTAATTCTTTTATTTCTTGAGAAATTTCTGATCTAATGCAAGATATTTCCATCTGTTTTTGAACTGTTATATATCGTTTGTCATACTGTTTAACTTATCTTTAGGTCTTACTCGGCATTGGGGAATAATTTCTTCTAGGTCCTGTCCTAAGGTATCAACCTATTGAGCCATCAAAGACATTATTTGATATAAAACTGATTTGGCTCCTTCCACTATTAGGTACTTCTGTTGAATGGTTCTCATGATAGAGAGACAGTGGCTTCTCTGCGTCTTCTTTTGTTACGGCTATTACAGATGCTCTGAATCGTACATATGGAGATTCTCATAATTGTTTAAAAACCTTGTGAGTGAATGAATTTAGTTACAGTTGATAACTATATTGAAAACATTTTCCTTAATTAATGACCAAAGTACAGGCATGGAGAAGACTCGAGTACGAGTACTCCCCTTCAACCAATAATATAAGGAAAACAGAAAGAGATAGGGTAATCTCATTTATTGCAGTTCATTCTTTGTGCAGCCAAGTCAGTACATCAATACACTTTTGGTGCCCAAAGATGGTGAAATCCCCATAGACATCCAAAGCTTGTCTTCCCAGGAATCTTTGACTTGGTATGTTTGCCTAAACAATAATCCTGTTCTTATCAAACCAATTTCTTACCATTGCTAATGGAACTGACTCATATGGTCATTCACTGAGTTAGTTCTATTAAGTCAGTTTCTTAGGAGGAGAACCAGTCCTAGAACTAGAAAACCCCCCTATTTCCTTGAGTTCCCTGTGGAAGCTAGTCCACTATCTGCTACCTTTCTCCAAACCCGAATGTGGTGGTCTCGTATCGTGTGTATTTATATTTGAAACTTTAGTACTAATGACTAAGGTACTCCATACCAAAACACTCGAACAATTCTGTCTTGGCATTTCTTTTTCTCCACTAATTCTATATGATATGATAACAAGTTTGCATAAATATGGTTTTCTCTACAGTCGTTGTTAACTCCATACATGACCCAAAAGTGGGTACAATTTTTGATCCAGAGTCATTGATATGCTCTTGGCAATGTGTTGAGCAGATACATGAGGACAAAGAATTAATTAGAACTCGAACCTATAATTGGTTTCACGAAGAGCAACATACTTTGAGTACCATTTATCAGATTCTTCTTAGGTATGTAGAATGTGAAAACTATACCTCAGCTACTTGCCCTTCTTCCCCCCCTCCAAGATTAGTACTGTACGTTATCCACAGAAATATTCTAGTGCTGTATTCAGTAAGATACGTGCATATGTTTGGGCATGAAATTTTAATAAAATATCCATAAGAGTGGACATGATAAGCATCTCTGACCATTGTTTACCAGGGGAAAATGATGGAATATGGCATCTGATATTCTTACTTCAATGATTTGCTGCAATTTTGTCACAGGTACATCATTTGAGCAAATGATTTCCTTTCAATTTAGGGATGGGTACATAATTTTATGTTAGAGAGACAAACTTATAAAATTTTAGAAGGATGAATTTATAAATTTTTAAGGAACGAAAATATTATTAATAGAAAATCAAAGAAAATACATAAATTATATGAGAATTTGAAATTTTTAGGGTTGGTTGTCCCGTTAAGGCGTCAACCCCTCTCGATCCATTCCAGCTTCAATTAATTAATAATATCATTCAATGGCTGTATACATCATAGTCCATTGGTAATGGATGATATTCTCAGAATGTAATAAAGTGATGTACGAAGGCAAGTTGCCAAAGTATACACGCTTCTCTTTTGCTAATGATAATTGGTTTTGATTTGAATTCAAAGCCCCTAATTATATACTAGGACTTCTTAGGATTAAAGTGGCCATTGAACTAACTCATGCATGAAAAAAAAGTGAAATCGACCGTGTTTGTCAGAAGAAATTCCTCATACACCGTTTGGTTATTTTGCCATGTACGATGCACCGATCATTGAATAAATGGACCCATTAATCATTGAATAAAAGGAAAAACAAAGAGTATTCAAAATTATTTTAGTCCAATCTATCCGATTGATATGGTAATGTAATTAGTATTGAGTTTAGAAAAAATACTTTAGAAAAATACTACATATTTTATATTTCCAATGTAGCAAACATGGGGTGGTGGCGCAGTTGGCTAGCGCGTAGGTCTCATAGCGTAAGAGTGATCCTGAGGTCGAGAGTTCGAGACCAACCACTTTTGATATTTCTCAAGTGTCGTGGAAACAAATGTAAAAATTGGCCTGAAGAATAATTAAAAGATTTAAGAGTAGAGCTTTGGAACTATCTTTTCCAATTGCTGAAAATGGATAAAATCATGGATCTTGATCAAGTTTGTTACCTTGGAGAAACGATTGGTTTGGTATATGGGAATAACATATTGTTGGGATCCTTCAATTTCATAGATTGGTGTCTTATGGGCTAGAGGACATTGGAACATGTTTTTTCTCTGCGATCGATTAGCAGATTTTGATCACTTAAGAGTTTTCTCAAAGCAATCTCCGAAGGCAAGTCTCGACTCTTTTCGTCCATGGAGGAATTCTAGTAAGGTAACATATTCCTGACTTGATAGGGCATGCATGCATATCATGTTATCATGTATGTACATAGGTTGAGATTGTGATGAAGTTCAGCGATGCCCTTTTATGGCTCTTAAGAACCGTAATCTCATTTTAGTGCATCCATTTCGAATAATAAATCCACATCTCGTAGGTCGTGTTGGAGATATGTTATAAGAAACTCTATTATTGGTCGTAATGGTGTTGGATAGTTGGGACTTTATTGCTTGCAACTGCATCATGCATATGACATGACATTTATACTTGATTTTTTGTATTACTCTGTCTAAATTCTTGTACACGATTCACGTGATTTAATGACTTGATTACACTATTTCCATTACCAATAAGCACTCTTTGGAGACCCCATCAATAAAACAATTATAGTTATCTTGGCATAACATGAACATCTGGAATGGACTGTATCGTGTTCCATTTCACCTATACTTGGTGTAGCATCTATGCCCCATTCAATATATCATCTTCATCATCATCATAGGCCACACTTGTTTTTGGGATACTAATATTTGAACGCCGGCAGATAATGCACAACTCTGCTGTAGAACAATAAATGGAACATAGCTTCTTTATTCCCACTTTCATTGCATAAGCATAAAATAAATGGTACTCCCAGCGTTCCCATTACCAACATGATACAAACAAGACTCCATTCTTCATTTTCGAAAACAAAACTAAGGCTATTTCGAATATGTGCCAGATGACTGAAGAATAATGCTTAGCAATAGCATTGCTGACAAACACAAACATGAGCCAAGCTATCAACATATGTAACTAAACATCCCAAAGCAAAGCATATACATTTGCAAGTAAAACGTTGGGACAAATCATTCATCAGATATCCATAAATGCCAAGTAGAAATTAGAAAACGGCAAGTGATCAAATATGACCATGAAAATGTGGGTTTCAATCAATGAATATTGCACAAACTGAACCAACAAAACAGGCATTGTATCCTCTGAACATCATGAAAGACATCACATTTATGGAATAACACTGCAAATCAGAACACAAATGAGAGAAAGTTTAGCGCTTCCCACTGTTTGGATTCGATTTGGTGCAAAGAACCTTCCGGCCCTTAGCACGTCTGCGTTTCAGAATAGCTCTCCCGCTGGTTGTTCTCATTCTTTCTACGGAACCCATGGGTTCGAGCCAAAGATTTCCGAGACCTGTTCCTCTTGGTTTGACAAAGAGCAGCCTTTCCGGCCCTAACCACCAAGCCTCGCCTTTCTCATTCTTCACCCCATTGTTTGAACCAAAATCAGTCCCCAAAGATAACCCTGCCAACAAAATTCGAAATCAATAAATAACCCAGTTAAAGAAATCAGTAAAGAAACAGAATGGGAATTTTGTTTACCTGAAAAGGAAGAAGGGAAAGAGAGAGATGAAGAGGAAGAAGGGAGAAAGGAGCAGTGAAGAAGGGAAGAGCGAGCTTTGGGGCTGATTGCTGCACTGGGAGAGATGGAGATGTTCTTCTTGAGCCTTTGAGAGAGTAAGGGAAGCTGAAACGATTTGAGTTCTTATGGAATTAGTAGTGAGATGTGAGTGGATGTTATTAGAGACATTGAAGCCATTGTTCTCTGATTTTCAAATTTTCTTATCCGGATATCTTCTAGAGCTACACTGTCACTGCTTCAAATGGCTTCTGATAGAGATGAAACGTGATGATGGGTCGGGTAGAGAGATTGAAGTGAACTTGTAGCTCAGCCCAATCTCAGGTTAACTGAACTTGTCATACGTATTTTTCATTTATTTTATCTTATTTTTAAATATAATAACTACCATTATTACTTATAATCAAACATAAAATTACTAGATTTATTAATCCATTTATCAATTTATTTTTTATTTTATTCAATTTTTAATAAATATATATTTTTATATAAAATACTTTTTTCATTCGCATAACAAAACTTATATTTAAGAGATTAAAATTTAAGCAAAACACATTACATGTTATTAATTATATAATTATATTTTAAAATAAAAATAAAATCATTATTATTATTTAATTATATTTTCATTTATAACTAGCAAAAAAACATCGTTTATATAACCAATTAATATTGTAAATAAAACTATAAATTTAGAGTAAAATCTTATCATACCAGTAAAAAAATAAAATCCCTCAATATTTTCTATTCTTTGGAAGTATGTTCTTAAAAATTGTCATGCTTCGTCAACAAAAATTTAACCATCAGTAACAATATAAAAAAGGTTTATTTTTTAAAAATTGAAACATTATAATTTAAATTGCGAAAAAAAATCTAAAAGTGCAATTCAAAAATTGACGAAAGCTTTTTTTTCATCATGCCAAAAATATATATTTTGTTCTAATTATGATTTTAGTTAGAGATGAGCATGGGTTGGGTCGGATTTTCGTCAATCTGCTGACCCAAAAAAATATACCCTCAACCCAACCTAAATCAGATCCAATTTTTGAGATAAAAACCCGACCCTAACATGAAATAATATATTTATTAAAATATTATCAATAAAAATAAGGATTTAATTGAAAAAATAATATATAGAGACATTATTGAAATTATCCCTAAATATAAAGGTAGAATTATATATTTTCTCGGATCAAGTAAGATTTTTCACCCTAAACCCATACCGACCCGATCCAAACACAACCTCTAAAAAAATTGATCCGAGCCGAACCCGATTTTTTTAAATCCAACCCCCAATCGGGTCAAAAACCCATCGATCCAGGTCCCATGCCCATCCCTAATTTTTGTGCCTTGGATTTTTATAATACTGTTGATAAGTCCAAAATGATAATACTATTTGTTGTTGAAGTGATAACGATAAAATTAACGAGATTAATTTAAATGGTAAGCATTTTATTGTTTAAGCATGTCTCAAATTCGAGGTCTTATGTATACAGAAAATCCCCGTCAGGTGACTCACCCATGACCCACAAAGTTAAGTGTGCAACATGGTCGGTCCGTATTAGTCAGGAAAAAACATAGAGAACCGGGAGGACAAAAAAAAGTTATAACAGTAAAAATAATATTTGCTTGAGAAAGCAGCCACATCTCCAGCAAAAGGAAGGTATAACAAACATACAAATCAAAATGTCCTATAAAGAGCAGTTGATCAAGACCAACATGTGAAGAAAATTGCATACCCTACAGCTTATTAATAGCCCTTCAGAGATAAATGGTACAATTCTCGGCTATGAATTAACAACAGTCGATTTTGCATCATGAGCGAGCATAAGAAAGTGAAGACTGGAAGCTGACCTTAAAGAAACTTTCAAGATCGCAATGGGAAAATACTAGTAGCCAACATAAACTGCAGCATTGACTATGTAACAATCATCATTCTTATCTCCCATTTCTTCTACAACCACACCGCTTGAGCATAGTAGTCCTCCATCCACCACTTCAACGTTCAAGATTTTTCCACTGCATTCAACGAATCAATGGTTTATTTACATGGACGTTCTCATTTTGTCCCCAACGGTTTCGAAATGTAAATGTTCAAACTCAATAACACTGACTAATGCAACAAGTACCAGAATTGACAAAGAGAATTAGGCATGACAAATAGAATAAATGCATATGAACAAAATTGATCTGAGATATGTGATGAAGGAATAAGATCCATTGAAGAAAGCCATACTCAAACACACGGTAGTAGCTAGAAGATGAGAGAAGGCATAAGTCAATTCAGTCACTGAACTCACTGGACTACAAGGGCTGTAAGCTACTTGATACTTGCAAAAATATTGTTCACAATTTCGTGAGAATATATTGCAACAGATATCTTCGTACATTAACAACTAGAGATACTCTATATGATAAAAAGCTAGTAATCAACTAAAAATGATGTTACAAGGAATCTAAAAACTGAGGCACCAAGTTCCAGGGTGTGGATACTCACTAAGGAAACACAGACTTCACCCTCTCAATATCCAATGACTGCTGAAGGGAATGAGGAACTCCTAACTTGATCAGTAATTCATTTGCTCAAACGAGACCCCCGGAATGGATCCTGCACGAATTTCATCTAATTTAATCTAACGGAACACCAACTTTATAAGAGAGTTTTTTTTAATAGTCTAGGGTGATTACAAGATAATATCTGTTCAGAATTTTTCTTAGCCTATTGAAATGACAATGCACACACCCTGCAAATGCAAATGCAAATGCAAATGCAAATGCAAATGCAAAAGCAAATGCAAAAGCAAATGCAAATGCAAAAGCAACGGCTCGAATTCAGGTCTTTTAGGAGAACAATATTCCCTTTTCTCATTAGGCCGTTCAATGAATTCTATAAGAGAAATTCTTAAATATAGCGCGATGCCCAGAACATGTATATCATAAAAATAATCATTGAGAGGAACCATATCAATAGGCTGAATTTAAGTACGTATTTGTTTCGGAATTTTTTGGTCCCATGTGCTTAATGAACACTAAAGAGAAACGAAATAAAATCTAAAATCTTTCAATCTTACTGCAAAAAAGCTGTAAAGCCAATCCATAAATACAGCAAACATATATACCTCTCCTAAATGCCGGAATTGAATTGGAAGAAATAGCATCCCTGCATGCCCTCATTGCTGCTGATGTAACATCTTGCCTGATTCAATAAAATAATTCAAAACCAACAAAGCAAACATTTTTTTATCGGATTAAACCAAAGAAGCAAAACAAAATGGGTGTTTTAAATAATAAAAAAGGGAAGCCAGACGATGGAAGAAGACGAACCCATGTTGATCGTAACCAACACCCATCTCCACAAAAGGAGTTCATTGGTGGGGTTGAGGTGTTGCCGGCGGTGCTTGTGCCTACACTTTGACCTGCTTCCATGGTTGTCGTGGCTCTAATTGGGCGTTGAAATCTAGGAATACGAGGAAGGCCGATGATAGAGGAGAAAAGAGGAGGCTTCAACGGAAGTGAACCGTATGTTTTCCGAGTGGAGAGAGTTTCAGTAGAAGTAAACGAGAACAACTTCGAAACCGAGCAGAAACAGATACTCATCTCCTCTTAAGGCTCTGCCCCAACAAAGACAGCGAATTCTAGAAAATTTCAGCAAAATTTCCAAGTCCAATCTACTTTTTTTCCCTTTAGAGTAAACTACACAATTGTCACCAAACTTTTAAATAATTATTTAATCACTTAGTTTTAAAACTTACAATACAATAATTAAATTTCTAGAGCGCTTATATTATGGTCGTTGTCGTCAGCTGTCGGGAAAAAAAAACTGATGCCGCATGTTATCTTATTTCTCTCCTCTTTTTTATTCTTTCACCACCTCACCATCCTCCAATTTAATCCACGACGAATTTCATGAGTTAATTTTCACCATAACCTGTTTGAGCTGCAAAAGACTCATTATGGGGTTGCTGCATGTAGATCCAAAAGAAAATTATGAACATCACTAAAATTGAATTATATGATCCAAGTACTGTACATTACATTTCAATAGAAGTTTCATGTTTATTCTCTCTTCTTTGTTCATTTGCTCCTACACAGCCACCTTCTCTTCTGTTGTTCACCATTCAACTTTCGTCCGGCAGCTATGCCGTCTTATTCACATGGTATCATTCACCAACAATTCTGAAGTTTTTTCTTCCGCTCCTCTCCGATTCATTGCTTCTGCTATCGTTCTCTTATTGATCGTCACCAACATTGTTTGCTCTTTTTTCTTTCTAATTACTACTTCGCTCTGCTGTCTCATTTATCAGTCCGACAAGCGATGATTGTGTCCTTCACCGATGTCCGCTGCTATCTTTCCTCTTTTTCATGCACTACCACAATCTGTTCGCCTATAATGTTGGTTATTTGTTCACAACGGACTCAATCCTCTGGTCTTTGTGTTTCAAAATTCAATGCCATCAGAGGTTGATTTAGTTGCGCTGATTGAAATTCATGAACTACTACTATTGACAATGTTCTAATCTTGGCCTATGTTCCACTAATATGTATGTTGGATCTGACATGGTTGACCATTTTTTTCCTATTTTGGCTGTTGAGTGTTACATTGTTCATATCAATATGTAGTTAATTATTAAATCTACTTGGTAGCAGAAGTTTATTGAGGAAATGTTTACAATTTGAGCTGGTTGGATTGTTCATTCTTTCATTAGACTACGAGTATGTGTTGATTGCAATGCGTTAATGGGATTATGTGTTGAGTGTTGAAGTTTTGTTAGTATTTGTTGGATTGAATCTCTACTTCTGGTTTGATATGGATCTATTGGTTCAATATACTTTAGTGAAGTTTTATGCTTCATATTGTTGATTTGGTTTTGAGTTGGTCAGTTCATTGGTAATGTTTCATCATCTGATTATTTCTTCTACACGGTATAATATGAAACTTGCATGCTTCACAACCATGTTTGCGTAAATTAAAATTATTTGGAGAGAGTATAGAGTTTAAGAGTCTTGCCCTTCTTAACCCAACAAAATAGGAGTAAGCGGTTTGGGTAGTTAATGGGCTACCTCTTGGTTATAATTAGTAGGATATTGGGTCTAGATTTGATAATCCATTTTGGGTAGTTATTGAATTGTTTTTTCCGCTCAAGGTAAACATATATTCATTAATCATAAATAGTATCAGAAAGGACAACGTTACTTAAACAACCAAGATAGTTAAAGTATAAAAAGTGGTTGTTGTAGAAGCAAAGTGAGCAACGGCATGCGGCGTTCCATTGGCTATTTGTGACTATAAGGTAGTATTTGTTTATAAGTTTTCTTAATAACGGACAATACATACCTAGCAAACGCAGTTACTCGAACCTGAGACATCAAAAAAGAACAACACTCTTTTTAATTACTGAAACCGTTTAATAAATTAACACTCCTCTACTTTTTAAACTAAAATCTTTAAACACATACAACCCCATTCACCGTACACACTAACCACCGGCCATTCATCAACTCTAACCATCATACCGCCTTTCTCACACAAAATCCTACAATTATGGCTGGATAATGGGAGATTGGCTGCAGGTGGAACTGCACCTTTTAAAGAAGAATCATGAATATCTCCAACTAACTCAAAAACAATGGCCCCATTAATCATTCACCCTCCAGAAGAATTTATGTTTAGATTGATCTTTAAGTTTCAATTATAGCCAGTAACGAGAAGAATTTATGTTTAGATTGATTTTTAAGATTCTATTATAGCTTTAAAATCCCCCAACCCACAGTATTATAATCACTTTCACATGCTAAAAACACAAAGTTAAAAGAATATGTTGCTACACTAAATCTTTCTAAGTTTCCTTGAAAAAGCAAAGTTGTTGGCAGCACTTAATATCAAAGGTCCCCCTTCCTTGCGTTATCATCGGCAAAGGAGTTTGATCATAAACTCTAATTTTCGAAATGTCTAGGCAACCAGGCTATGTCCAGTAATCCACCATATAGACTTTATGAAGAATTGACGGAAAAATGAGTTACGGTGATATTCCACAATTCGTATCTTTTGATTTAAACGAATAAGAAAAAAGAGTTGGAAGAGATAATGAATAGAGCATGAGTTTGGAGCTCTCTTCTCTCAGTTTGTTTACGTGGAAGTTTTGGCATCAGGTAGTAGTAGGATGATTGGGTAAGTCTTAGTCCTAGAATTGATTGTTGTTGATGAGTTGACAAAGATAGATCCAACTTTAGATAGGAAACTAATAATGGGATTGACAGCGATCATGTCGAGACTATAGTACGACGAAGGACATAAAACTTCGATGATTGTTGTTGATGAGTTGACAAAGATAGATCCAACTATTAGATAGTCAAACTAATAATGGGATTGACAGCGATCATGTCGAGAGACTATAGTACGACGAAAGACATAAAACTTCGAAGGTTTTAAAAAACTCTGAATAATTCAAAGTTCGATAGACGAATGGCAACGAGGTATTGCTTGCGGAACATATGCATAAAAGTTCTTTTAATGGTGACATTCTCGCAACAATTATGCCCTTTGAATAACTTGTTTGTGATAAATATAGCAGCCGGCATTGTATTCGCAAACATCATTGTTTTTTCCCCCCCTCCTTACAGCGAAAACTAGGATGGGGTTTCGGGATTCTGAAGCTGAGTATGCTATCAGAGATCAATTTTTAGCTAGATGTAGAACTGCAGATATATTTCTGTTGCTGGTTTTGGTATTGAACATGGCACGATCTGGCTTTGTCTCTCAGCTTGGAAAGCCTTCATCGTTTCGACATCGAATCCTCCGGCGAACTGACACAAGTAAACAGATTCGTAAGCCAAAAACAGGAAATCAGGAGCCCTTTTGTTTCAAATTGTAGAAATCAATGAGTTTTATGATTAACCTGATGTACACGGAATGCAAATCTAACACCTTGAACATCAGCTCCTTTTTTCGGGTCCACCCCCAACAGCTTCCAGCTCTGCAGACACTCGTCTCATGTACTTCATCGCTGTTTCACCGACGCTAGCTTGATCTGCAACAATTTATTTATGACATATTAATGAGTTACCAATACCAAATGCAATACATCATGTAGAAAACGCTCGTTTTCCAGTCCGGATATCGGTAAAGAAAGTATATCGGTCCGGGTCCGACACTTACACTCGATTTCAGTTTTATTCTTTTTCCCATGAATTCCACATAGAAGAAACAAGGAAATGTGTTTTGGTTCACGTGTAGGCATGCACGCTTCCGCATTGAACATATTAAATTACCTGACACACAATTCCAGTTCAAGCATCCAATCCATAGGGATATGGGATCCTTGAATCTGTTTGCAGCGGATTCTCTCATCGGGACAGGTTGTAAACCCATGCTCTAGCCTGCACCCCATTAACAACCAAATGAGAACAAATTGTTAAGAAATAAAAGGGATAGTACATTTAAGGTCATTAATTATTAGTTTAGTAATACACAAGTCACATTTTAAAGAGTTACAATTTAGTCACTGAATTAAAGCAGGAGTTTAAAAAGAAACTACATACTTTTCGAGTAGAGTCTGCATTTTCTTGAGAGCCGGAGTGCAAGGTTGCTGGGGATCATCACGAAACGATGACGCCTCGGATTCTAGTTTCTTGAGATCACAATACCCAAACGCCAGCCTCCCGCAACGCATCGGCCTTCTGCTCCGGCCAGTCAAATGTTTTAGCACCGCCCTTTCATCCACCAAAATCAATAACAAACAAACACTAATAATAATAAAAATTATCAATTTAATCTTCGGTATAAATATATGCCCGAAATGAATATACTCATCAAATATTTAAAATATTAATAATAATGTGAATTTAATATAATTCGATCGACATATAATTTATTAAATAATAAAAATGGTATGGATAATGTGACATAAATGTACCAAGTAGGAGAGCTCATCGTCCAGCCATTTAACAAAAGGAACAACGTCTTCAATATCTGTAAATGCAGCATTCTCAACTTCTTTTATCAAAAACCTTATGAATTCTCCTTGTGTTTCCACATCTGTCTTTATCTGTTACCAGAAAATTATAATTATACTAAAAAGAGAAATCAATTTAAAATGTGCTAAGGACAATGGGGGCAAATATGTACGTTACTCTTGAAATTCAAAATCGAAATTCAACAATATTACTTTTTTTTATTGTATTTTTAATATCCCGCATAGGATGTAATGCTGTCTTATCTTAAACATGTAAACCAAAACGAAACTATGAGAACCATGCTGTCGGTGGCATTATCGTAAATAAAATGACTAGAAACTCACCGCGAGCAAGTAAGCCGACCGATTCTCGATCTCCCCGATCATATCCCTTGAATTAGAGGTTGTCGGTAAAGCCTCCGGCACGCTACAACCACCTGCCTCTCTTTTTGAGTCCCTACGCATAAGGGTGATAGAACTCCACAACCTCCGGAACTCTCCTCACCTTAGTCGCTATTGTTCTCGTCCCCTTCGCAGGCGGCGGTGGAGGTGGCGGTGCCATAGCCTTCATAGGAGGTGGCGGCGGGGGAGGAGGTGCAACTTGCTTGACTGCTGCCACTTGTGCCGGATGAGGCGGTGGAGGTGGAGGTGGTGGTGGAGAAGCTTGCTTCTCCGTGGAATCAGAGCTACATGGTGACGAGGATGACGACGACGAAGGTCTCGGAGGTGGTTTTGGAACTCTAGGAACACGAGATCTGATATTAACACTGGTCGACTCAACGAGTTCGTCCGAGTTACTCCTCGAGTGTCTGAGTTTCTCCGTTTCAAGTTCTTCTCTTTTGAACTCCAAGCTCTCAAGTTTCTCATTATTCACAGCACTGAAAACAATGGAGTTGGCACATTTATTGTGATTACTATTTCTCTTCAAATTCTTAATCAGATTTGATTTCGCACTAATTTCCCCTAACCCTGAAACTGCTGCGAAGACGAAATCAATTCGTCGCTCTCCGCCTTACTATTACGTTCAGAGCAAAACGTGGCCGTTTTCTTCAGCTCCAGTATCTGTTCCTCCATTTCCCTCACTTTCTTCTCCCTCTCCCCCCTTTCTTCTTCAACCTTTCCCTTCATCCTCCACCTCTGTTTTCAACTCTGGTTTCTGTTTCTCAACTCTCCACCTCTTCCAAAGCTCGCTCCAGCTCAGCGTTTTTAAAGACGATCTCGTTTTCCAGGACGGGAACAATGGCCACGGACTCTTTCAAAAGCTTGTGCTCTAGAAGCTCTGTTTTGAGCCTGGACTCTCGTTCCCTTAACTCTTCGACCAACAGGAGGAGGTCGGTGATATCAGGTGGACGAGGTTGGACTTGGGCTGAGGATCGAGGGAAGTAAACGCCGAATGAACGTGAGAAACCTGGCTTGTGGAAGTGTTGGTTTTGTGTTAGCTGAGCTTGGAGATGAGAATGGTTGTTTTGATGGAGCTTCATGCTTTGGGGTTGAAGATGATTTTTGCAAACCCATTGCTAATCTGAGCTTACCAGCCACCATTGTCTTACAGTTTTTGTATGATTTGGGGTTGGATACTTTAATTTGTGATGTGTAAAAAGGGAAGGATACCAGAATAACGTCCTTGCCTGGTTGGCTTTTGAGAGTGAAGCGTTAAACTTGGGAATTTGTGAAGTTTGGAAAACAGGGGATGAAAGAAAAAGGGACGTTGAGATAACAAGAGAGGGAAACAACTCCAAATTAAAGAACAAGAGTTAGAAAGGTACAAAATATGGAGGAACGGTCATCTTTGCTGGATCTAGTTTGAAAAAGGGAAAAGACAACAACAAAAATAAACTAAATGCATTTCTAAACAGAATTATTCAAATATCATTTTATATTTAATATAATAAAATTAACTGACTTTATTCTCATATGTAATGAGGTAAGAGAGAGGTAGGGTAGTAGCTTGGCCCCCAACGCTAGATTGAGAGTAACTTTCGTGAAAGACCTCCAGTATGAATTTCCCATCGTGGGACTCGTCCCACCTCAAAATTAAGAACCTTGTGCTCTACCAACTGAGCTGGACAGGCAATTCTTTATATTTAATATGTTTTGATTAATATATATATATTGAATATGAATAGAGGTTGAAATTGATTCATTAGATTCTCTGTATAATGTCTTAAGTAAACTATTTAGCATGGTTTCAATCATATTTGCGGCCGCGTTTTCAGTTATTTCGAATTTATATTGATTGCGGCCGTCACGGACGCTATTGCGGTCGTTTGTGGGTAACTCGGACGGCGACGAAATCGCTATATCACAGCTGAAATCGCGATCGCATGCCGTTTTTTGAAATCCTGTTATTTAGACGTTTAAAAAAAGTGTCGCATGCAATAAGAAATCAGTTTTAGCCTTGTAATCAACCACTTAATTAGCATCTTGTCAGATCAAGTAAAATTAACGAGTCAAGTATTATAGATGTTAGCGATGGTTCTTACCAAAGTATAGGGGCCTTGAAAGAGGTGGTGAGAGGAGTTTAATGATATTAACGTTGTTAGTTTTGAACCATAACATGTTGGAAGTTATACAATCAAGCGAGTTCTAGAACCTCATAAATTCTTCAAAGTTCAGCATAAACAACCCCAAGATTTTTTTTTTGAAAATCAATAAAATTATAAATGAATTTTTTGTGAATATAAATTAACTGAACATACATCCATTCAAATTCGTTCATTTAATAAATGAATAAACAAATTCCAATTCATATTTATTTATTTATCTTAATTAACAAACAATATACTAACGATTTACAAGTAGTTGGCCGAGTGCTCTATTAATTTACAATCCTATTAAAATAACTTGTTTTTGTCAGATTTTATTTTTTTTAATTTTAAATGTATATAGTTTTAAATTATTTTTCTAAACTTAAAACTTGGTCATAAATTTGTTTGACCCGATTTAATTCAAAAAAATTTAAATTAAATTTGAATGCTAAGATAGAAATCATTAACTCAACCAACTCGACTAAACCTAAATTTGAAGTAACGTCTAAAATTTTTATCTTAGTATCTACTAGATGAGATGACCTAGCTATAGGTTAGGTACCATAGCATATATTCATTCCCTTACCAAGTAAGGAAATTTTGTAATCATAGTCACGCTCTTGGCTGAAAACACACACGTAAAATGAACAACAATCATAATTACACATTCATGGTTATTATTCTTGTGAATAGGAAGCGGTGAAGGTAAAAACAAAACGAACGAATTTAATTAGTATGTGAAGGTAACAAAGCATCTCGAAATGAATGAGTGTGGTCCTTCTTTGAACCGCCTCGAGGGCTTGCTCTTGGTGCCCCAAAGCTCTCTGTAGATTTCACATGTAGAGGCCAACGAAGCATGAGTTAATGCAGATCCCAGCAATGGCTATGGGGGGCTCCCTCCATATCCACTGTTTTAACATGGAAATTTGTACTGAATAATGGATTAGGGTTTTGGGTCTTTCTTTTTTCTTCTTGTTGGTAGCTAGTAGTGGACCAACTTGTCACATGTTTATGAATCTATGACTGTGACACCCAATTTTCCCTTGAGAATATACGTCTATATACATGTTCAATTATATTACTAATTGCCCCACTTAAAAGAAGTGTAATTAGTTTTCCCCAATTGCAAGATTCATGTTCAGCTTATAGTAAATTTGCTTTATTTCTCTCTCTTAATATAAGTACGGTCCAATTGCTGATATGACAGAACCCATAATTTTGAGGGCCATTGTCCCTGAAATTCACAATAATGGAATTTAAATTTTTAATCGGTGAAACGAAGACAATTTTATAAGAAGAAACAGTGTTTTACATTCATTCCACACATGGAAACATAGGGTATCAGAGATATATTATATATCATGCCTTAAAGAAGTAGGAGATATTAATTTTACATCGGAAAAGAAAAGATCTTAGAATTTAAAATCATTGGCGCTACATAACCTATCATACATATTTTTTAGAAAGCGTAATGATTATATGATAAGTAATATCAGAATAATCATTTGACAGTTAAATTCTATGTCGAATGCCCAGTGAGTAGGATTATGCTGGACAACTGTGATGAAGGTGTCACGAGAATTAATGGAAGATAATGTCCACGTCTTGAAGAGGTAAGAGATCTTGCGTCAAATTTTGTTTTCTAAAATTTAAAAGTGATGACATTGCCCATTCTATCTAACATATCTTTTAGGAAAAAGATTATAATGATATTTTGATACTATATCATCTTAGAAGCTTATCCCTCGTGTTGGTTTATCTTCGGTGAAAATGTGATGGCTAAGGAC